CAACCATTCATTCAGTTAATCTAATTGTTTCAAGTCTGGTGCAAAAACGCATGGTCGCGCTGGCAAACTTGGTACGTTCCAGCCTGGGTTTTTCTGTTTTTTGAAATCCGTTTTCTTAAATCAGTTTTTTACGCGTTTTGCGCTAGCTGCACGAAACTCATATTAATACACTTCTGTGTATATGTATGTGCACGCGTGTGCGTGCGGTTTTCACCTCAGGAGTCACTTAAGTTAGGAAGCTGCAGAGTCATGCCCGTGTGCGGCCATACAACTTTAAATTCAGCCCTCGTGCACACCTAGGTCTCAAGTGCAGTCAGGTGAAAGTTCTGTCAGAAAATTCGTTAACTCGCGAACCAGGCAAGACAGAAAGCCGAAATTTCAGAACGATATTTTCTGACCGTTTGGGACACCGAAGAATTTAAGTTCTGTGTATGCCTGGGTCGCACGTACGGGCGCATGGAGTTTTGCCTAGTCGGTAGATTCCGATAATTTTTCCAAAAAACAAATGGTGAAGTAGAGCACATTTTTAACAGCAAGCATTCGCTGGACAGGACTGCACAAAACACAGGATCGCACCATCTGCATTTGTGCGCACCGCTGTTTGTTCACAGTTAATGGTTCACGGCAGACACAAAGAAATACCTGGTAGTTGAATGTAAATCGCAGCAGAGCACGATAAAAAAGAGAGAGAAGACACGAACTGTTTAGCAAGGTAGAGTCACCGTCTAAATTTCAAATTAATATTCAATTTTGATGAATTTCAGGGACAAAAAAGATGGATGTGAAGTCACAGGCGCAGTCAAACACAGTTGGTGCATTTGGCTCACCCTTCATCGATCCATCTTCGTTTGCTGGTTTGTTTTTAAATAGCCGCTCTTTTTATGAGTCTTTCTGGTATCTGCATTATTGTTCCGCATTTCCAGGTTTACGCCCTCCGGCATCCGTTCCGATGAGCGTCCCGAGTTTATCCACTGCTCCCACACTGCCAGTTTTTGTGCAACCATACCTTATGCCATTCATCGCGCCATCAGTGAGTAATGCCCCAACAGCGGGAATTTCGCAGTCCCCATCAACTCCGAAGCATAAAATACATGATTTGAAGGCCAGCTCATCCGGCATAATTTCCTCGCATTCAAAGGAGAGGTCAGTAATGATAAATTCGGCAACTTTCATATTCAAATTAATATACTCACTCTATTGTCTTTCAATAATTTTTATTTTGCAGCAGCACAGTTCAGCCATCTTCAGTCGTTGCTTCACCAAGCTCTCGACCTTTATCACGAGGAGCACCAGGTTTGAGTTATGAATATTTTAGTGTTCTTGGTATTTTCGTACTGACTGAACAGATGAAAACTTGTACGAATTCTTAGATTAAACTAATTAGAAGGCTTTATCTATTTTGAATATTTTTTGATTCGCCTAGTTTACGATAAAAATAAATCTGGTCACTTGATGTTCTGTGACTTTAATAATTTCTTGAAGGTAATATGTTGGCAACGAAGCAAGTGGTGCATCCGCAGTCAGTGAATCAGAGTGTTTCCTCGGGAAACTCATTTACCGCACTGCAGTCACTTGCATCCGGCGGCAGTGACCGTACGCCGAACGCGCAGTCATCAGCGCTCAATTTTATGCAACAACAACAGCAACAACAGCAGGTCAAAGTGCTTCTGGGTTGGACTCCATAGCAGAAGGGACAGCAGCTTCAGGCACCGCTCGCTGGGCATTTCGCAGCATCATGTTGTCTTCCTC